TAACTATGAACACCGCTACCAAGAAACACTTGCCAAATAGATCAGAAGGCGTAAGAAGCTCGTTCCAAATGACTCCATAAAATCCCCGAGAAGCCGAATATCAGAAGGCAATTAATGGACCAAGTCGAGGTTTATTTGCTGGCGATCTCGTGGCATCGAAAGGATACCGAGATCGTGCCAGGATACAACCTTGGTTACAGAACGTAACCGAATCCGCGCGAAGTTACAATCGAAGTGTGTAAGTATAAGAATGGAAGCACAAAATAGCTGTCATTAGCACAGTCAAACAAAAGCACGTTAAAACAAACACTGGTACAGTTGGTTATAATAATAATTGTTTTTATTAAACCAGTCGTGTTCTCGTGATAAACGTGAGTCACTACAGGAGCCCCCCGCTAGAAAGGGTTTACACTTTCGATAAATAGCGGTTTAAATCGTGGGACTGATCGGCTGACGAGCGATTGTAGGACGGAAGAATTGGCGAACAGGAAAGCGATCGTTGATCGTCGAGTTGCCAACGAAGTTCGTTTTCGGAGAACGGTACCAGGAGCGATGTGCTGTATGTATTGCTTGAGTTGGCATGCTACACGAGAGTGGTTTGTATCCAGAATCTGAAGAGGGCGTTCGTACGGGTCCGGACCGTAAACGCTGCAGACGAAGGACGAAACCACGTTGAGCCAAAAGACCAGAAGCGACCGTAACGACCAAGTTCGAGACCAAGCGTGTGCCAAGCATTCGAAACCAATATATCGACTGAGTACGTTGACAAGGGCGTGGGTGGCCAATCCAGCTTTCGCCAAAGTTGACTGAAGTCGACGGAACCAAACGGAGATGGTCGAAGGCGTGGGCTCAGGAAACAAAAAGAAAATCAAAAAAAAGAAGAGTGTAGCATACGTGTAGTATAGGAATAATCCTACACCGTATCGGTTGTTGACTGTGCGACTATTCGCGGAAGCGTACGGGTAACCGTACTCGGCGACCGGAACGTGAGACGGCAGTCTCGTTCGCGTCGCGTGAGCCTGCAATCTCATCCGAAGTCAAGGGCGGCGTGGTCTGCTGATCTGGAAGTGAGACTGTCGTCTCGTCCGTAGACGGTGCAGATGACGCGTGCTGTTGACTGGGACGTGAGAATGAGGTCTCAGGTGTATCTAGCGTGGGACCTGAAGATGGTTTGAGGATCCCGCTAGGTTTGATAGGTCTAGCATTGAATCTCAGGGTGTCAGATAGGGCACTGTCATCGACGTGTGCTGGTTTGAGACGATCAATGCTGAGGATCTCGACGCGTCCATATCGATCAACCTTGAAGGTCTTTTCGTGACGAGCGATCACGTGAAAAGGGCCTTCGTAAGGTTGTTGCCAAGGTTTGCGTACCGAATCTACTCGTACAAAAACATGTGAACAGGTAGATAACTCTCGAGGGAGAGCGACCTGTCGATGTTGTATTCGAGTTGACACCGGAGACAGCGTTCGCATAAATGCAGACAGTCGATGGACGTAGTCTGATATACTGAAATTAGGTCTGCTCCGTGGTGTGAAGAATTCTCCGGGCAGACGCAATGTCGTGCCGTATACAAGCTCAGTGGCGGAACATTAGATATCTGCCTTTAAGCTCGTTCTCACCCCTAAAAGAACGAGCGGTAAGGTTTCGTGCCAGTTGCCGTTTTCGTGTGCTCGTAGAACACTTTTAAGTTGGCAGTGAAACCGTTCAACTTAACCATTTGGTGCTGGGTGGCAGACGGATATGCTTATGCGTATGCATTCCGTGCCAAGCAGCCGGGTCAGCGAGGAGAATCGTTAATAGGGTAACATTTCTCGAATAAAGCGTGGAATTCATCATCACGCGAATAAAAAGTGACAAGGGTTCGGTACACATACGTGTGAGTCTATTATATTAATACTATTCTTATCGTTATCCGTCATGTCGCGTATATTATATATTAAAAAATATGAAAATATACGACAGACGTGGATAGATAAATCATAGACTCACCGAATGGGCTTCCTTGGAAGATTTGATCAGAAGTTGAGGCGTGTTCCAAAATACGGGTCACCAATTGTATTCGTTTTGGGATTACCAATTGTAGCGTGGCGTCGAGTTGAGATTAACTATGAACACCGCTACCAAGAAACACTTGCCAAATAGATCAGAAGGCGTAAGAAGCTCGTTCCAAATGACTCCATAAAATCCCCGAGAAGCCGAATATCAGAAGGCAATTAATGGACCAAGTCGAGGTTTATTTGCTGGCGATCTCGTGGCATCGAAAGGATACCGAGATCGTGCCAGGATACAACCTTGGTTACAGAACGTAACCGAATCCGCGCGAAGTTACAATCGAAGTGTGTAAGTATAAGAATGGAAGCACAAAATAGCTGTCATTAGCACAGTCAAACAAAAGCACGTTAAAACAAACACTGGTACAGTTGGTTATAATAATAATTGTTTTTATTAAACCAGTCGTGTTCTCGTGATAAACGTGAGTCACTACAAGTTAATGTATTTATCACGATTCCAATTGCTATTTATGGCATGACTTCTAATTAATTCAAGGTCTGTTAAATTTATCCGGTTACATCAAACGCATCAAAAACCACACTTTTGGTTTACTCTGTTTGTCTTTGTTCATTTGGTTTGGCGAACCAGCACTTACATAGCCTGATCTCTTGCTGTCCTTTTTGTTAGATCTCCAATGCACCTCACTAAATAAGTCCTTTCATCATGGTACTTAGCTGATTCTTCAGAACTGAATAAAGAGAGTCTGTACAGCTACCAAATTGAGGTCAAGAAAGCCAGTCTCAGATAGCTTTACTAAAGTCTACCCAGTCGATCTAGTCTAGCACATTTCAGGCTGGGTGCTGCAATCACCCACTTGGGAATCCAGTACTTCCGACCCTTTAAAATTTTATATTTACAAGCTCTTTCGAGGGTAAAAATATGCTTCTGTGAGACTGATTCTCAGGAGAGATAAAATACTTAGGCACCCGGGCAGTATCACAGCCCTCACACAATCGAATGATTTATGTGGCACATATCTATTTGATGCCTCTTTGTATCAATATTTATGTATTTAAATAAAAAATAAATAAAATAAATACTTGTCATCAGTTCATTCCTGAGAAAATAGATGTTCTAATACACTGGGTCAATCAAACATAGGCTTAGTAAGAAGTGAGAATACTGACAAGTGCATACTATTAATCAAGATTTGATTTAACTTTCTGTACGAACAGATATGTATTACCGGTTAAAAATACTGCTCAATCATCTGAAATTACATATACAGTACTCTATATTTGTTATAAGGAGTCAGTGTTTTATTTAACAAGTGTAACTTCTATATTACTTATTTCATTTGAATAAATCTATGAGTAGTGTAGTTATTAACAATTAAAGTCATATTTCTGTTTTAAATAATCACATTTCGGTAACACAACAATAATGTCAGATGTCAATTGAGTGATATCATAGAGTAGATAAACAGATTTAAGAAGAGTCAATCACAGTGGATTGGTATCAAATGTAGAAGTATTTGAAATTCTAAAAAAAATTGAGTAGTTGTTAATTCATTGTTCGAATGTTGCACAAATGCTATGTTACAACCAAGATTGAGGAGATGTTGTCCTGCCTCTGGAAATTTCTTATACAGACACTAATAGATAGTATCTGTCAAAAAGTTTAGCTGACTATCATCAAAATGGCTTGGTGTGTTTTTACGAAAATGAGAGAACGGAAAGAGAATATATGAGGTTTAATATGGATTTGTGGATGCCGACGTTCCACCTATTATAAGGAGTTAAAAAAATTGGTGTTGATGGACTTCAGCATCCTAAAGAAGTGAAAGAAGTATGAACCTACGTTCGTTAACAGTGATCATGGTACTGAATCTATCGATGTTGTTTCATTCTTTTGCGGATTAGAATTCCAATCTAAAGACTTGAAAATTAACCCCACAAGAAAGTTACCCGTTTTGGCTTAAGTGTCCAAGCTCAAACATATATATATAAATAAATGGTTACTAAGACAATGTACTCTTCGTTATCCATAAAAACAATATTTATAATTACCTACATAGAATTCTGCGTTCATTAAGACAGGTAGCAATTAATTATCTGTACAATGAGTAATACATCTATACATGCTTAGTTATAATATCTGACAATGTATTTATTGAGTATTATTTTCCGGTAGCTATTTGGTAACCCTTTATCTGACTCCAGATTGGATTGTAATTGAAATATATATGTCGGTCATCTTCGTATATAATCAACAGCTTAAATCGCGTAGGTGAATAACGGAATTAAATAATTGAAATACAAGAGTGGATTTTTGGATATGTATATTTCGTACACTCACTGATCTGAACAGGAAATGAGAGAGATAAAGCGAATACAAGAGAGTGAAGAGAAATGACGCGCAATGGGAAAGGTGTGTGTGAGCCAACTCCATTTAATCAAGCGTTAATCAATATTTATAGCCAGATTAAAGTAGGTTACAGACATGCGATGAATAGAATAAGAAGTGTATACACACATAAATTAATATAAAAACAGTCAGGGTTGATAAGTGAATAATTAAAAAGTTCAGAATGTGTGACTCAAGAAGAATGAATAGAATTGGCCTGTCCGGAATATAGAATAAGCTATGTGGGCTCAATATAGTAACCGACACTACAACTATTTAAATAGTAATGCCCTGTAACAAGTTAAACTTTGATTATCTTTCCAAATATTTGTATTTTATGAAAGAAATCAAAAATTATCTAATCTGATGATCGATTTTCAATGGCCTACTCACAAAAATGTTTTCGTCTCAACCTATTCTTTAAACTCTTCAATACATGGATGCATTAAAACACATGGATGAAAATGATTCATGGAAAAAGCTCAGTTAAATTATGTGAGTATTTTTAAACTACTCATATTAGTTTACAGTAGTATATATAGTTTAAAAACAATTTAATCAATTATTCAACCAAATTCTTTTGTTGAAAATTACTGAACATTTATTTACTTACATTGATAAGTACAGTCAATGCAGAGATTCCATCCTTTGACAAATTACATGATGTTAAATTGAGAGTTGAAATATTTGGGACATGACGTAAAACTCGGCAAATTTCTTTGAATAGATTGAATGAGAAATAAAACACCCTTAATTATTTGATTAATGTCAAATAAAAATCTGTTATATAACACTTGAATTTCACTCAGGTCATAGCTGATTCCAATAATAAATACATGATTTATATATAGGATGAATATCATAAACCTCATATACAAGTCCATTGATTCCACAAACTTCTCATGTTATAGAGTTATTGTGTAATGAACAAAGAATCAGGTGAGGATAATCAATCTATTATTTAATATAAATTAAAGAATCCTTTCGTAAAATGTTTTTAGCCTGGTTATTCAGCTAAATTATTGAATTAATAGCTTGGTAACTTTCTCAGTGTAATGTTAGAGGAAACTGATGGACAAGAGATTGCTTGGCGAGACTCTGACTTATGGACGACCTTTGAACGAATCTTAAGTAACCTAGAGAAATACTAGTCAGTCAGCAAACAGGCAGTGTAGAGTAAAAATATATTATACAAAACCAAAGAAATAAAGTGGATACACTTCTTATACGGGGTTAAAAAACTTGTCAAGGTTAGAAAGAGGTTTAGAGGTTCTAAAATCGTAATGCATGTAGTAGAGTAAAACATTGATACGGCTAGAGAATAGTCGGCCTCTGGGGCCATGATAAAGTCTCAAATACTCTTTCAGCCTCGACCACATAGCTCCAATATTGTTTATGTGCACTTCGGTTGTTTAGTGCACAAAATGCTACTTGTGGATAACGAAACGATGTACATAAACAAGCCTATGTAGGAGTCTGTACGCTCTCCATCCATCCGTATATATTGTAGTACCTGGCCGCAATAGTGTTACTGGTGCTCTTATTGTCCAGTTCGCGATAGTTGTCATAATTTGCCGTAGTTAGGAATTATATATGCGGTTTTCACCACGAATTGACATCAGCTATAATGCCAGGAGTTTATTTAACCAAAAGGATGAAATGCTTTCGCATTAGAATCTGAGATATATTATCTTATACCTGATTGATTCGTCCACAAATTATAGTCTCGCCGTTGTATTTTTTATAGCCGCTCAATTATCACGTTTTGTACAAAATTCCCTGTGAACCGATTATACGTTAGCATTAAGCAATGAAGTTGTTGCCGTTACCTTGAAATCTCTAAGACGCCTCTGATTGGCTCGTCCATAAATTAGAGTCTCGCCGATTGCTTATAGGAAAATACTTTTACATTTAATATTTAAGTTAAAGCATTGTAGTGAACAAGAACACGAGTGGGGATAATCGAATGCACTAGACACGCAATTACAGATTCTCTCAATAAAATCTGAGAACCATATAGTAAATAGTTAATGTGCAAAATATCAATCCATTGTCTCAGATTTCATTGTTCATGCATTTTCATACCAATTGCATTCCGTTCCCATTCTTTCCTTCTTGATCTTCTACTGAAATACATTCTATCCCTGATCACCGTCTTATACTACTTATGTGAATATAAGTAACCCACATCACAGTCCTATCGGACAAGCTTTTTTTGAAAATTAGAAATGACTTACATCATTAACCACATATGGCATTTTGAATGTATCTTATAAATTCACTAAAACAAAATATTCATTGTTAATATTTAACAAAAACTATCCTAAAGTGACTATTTAAACAATGGTTTTATCTAAACATTTAACCTACCTTCAAGACCATCATCGTTTATGGAAGAACCTTCAAATGACAAATGTTTCAATGTACGATTTTTTCTAATACCCTACACCGAAAAAAAACAAACGAATTTCATAAGCTTCAAAAACTGTTATTAATTAAGAATTTTCTTTAAAGTAAAGAGTTTATCATCACTTGTATTGTTTATTGTTGAATATATATTCTATAAAGGTGCTGCTTCAAAGTGCAGATTACCTGTTGAAAGCCTATATGATCATCATAACCAACAGTTGTAGGATTTTGTTGAAACAGGTCATAAATTACTGTAATGATGCAGATGTATTGGCTCATTTCCTTCGCTTGTGTTTAGTCTGAGGTGTAAACTGTTTTACAAAATTCTAGGATATGATGAAATATTGTTCAACACTACTATGTTCTCGATGTTTCTCTATTCGATTTCAACTAACGATGAAGAATATATACTTAAGCGGTTAATTTTCTGAAAATATTTTACTTGAGCAGAACACTTTGTCATTCATCATATTAATGGTTGAGTCTGATGTTGTTAGTCTAATAAGAGAAGTGTATCGTAATTGTCTTTTCGTCTTTCTATTTACAAAATACTGTCATCAAAATTTAACCTCTGTTTTTTCAGTCTGTTCTTTTCTCTAGAAGTGATTTTACTGCGTAAATTCATCGCATACAAATATTATGGAGTTGAATGTATGTATTATTTGATGAACTGTCGGCTCGTAACTAGCATACCCATTTTATTCGCATTCAAAGTTTGCTACTTAATTGTTTTTCAGTAGGCAAAAATGTTCTACATAAATTAATAATAGTGAGACAAAACTTTCGAATGTTGAAATCAATGAATGGAATAGTGATCGACTGATAAAGTCAATAATATGATGTGTGTTCGATTAGTGGTAGATCGCGAGGACGAATTACTGACTGAAGCCTTAAAGTGAATTAAAGTTAACAAGAAAACCACTGGCTAACAAAATCACTTATGTTTATACACAGAATATTAACGCAAAATAAACATGTATCATAGTAAATAATTTTGTTTTTAATGAAAAATTAACGATACTACTTACTTCACAAATTTGTAATAAACCTGTTTTACTGAGTGGGAGATTTTGCAATTCTAAAAATGTTAATTTTTCTGTAACACATGCACAGTGACGTAATGCTTTGCATAAATTTAATAAAAGTTTTGAACTGGATAGTAAAATTGGTGGACGTCGTCGATTGGTTGAAGTTGCACTGTCTAGATAATGGGAAAACAATAACATCTGTAAATGTATCTTAATAAAATTAGTGTTAGTCTGACAAAAGTATGTAATGTTATCAATCAGTCATAATCAACTTAGAGCCTGGTAAAGTATGCATTGTTACAAGCTGCCGTACCATATAAGCATTTCAAGATGAATAGAGAAAGAGTTTGATGTTAGATAGAAGAGGAATATAGGACCTGTATTTCGTCCTGTTTGGAACTTGTCAGCTGGATGTACCTCCATCTTAGTGCCAATGTTCACATCGAGACTCGGACCCAGTACTAGCTTCAAATGTTTAACGCGTTGTCTATTTAGCTACTGAGTTCAATTAATCACTTGCTTGTGCAACAGAGTTAAGTTTAATTCATTTGCATTAGTTTTTTAGATCATCCAGTAGGTTAACTGGAATATTACAATCCATAACATCAAAGAAAAGATACAAACAGCCTATACGAACAGTGAAAGAGATTGAAATAATATGGTCATTCAGTCATAGATATTGACATTTGCACAAATATGCAGTTAGTTTACGGTATCATTACTTCACAGCAATACGATAAGAGATAGAGTAAAATTAAGAAAATGAAAAGTGCGGAAAAGAAGTTAATATTAACTTTGTAATAAAGTTTAAAAATGAAATTAAAGGATGAAAATTACGGAAAAGCAATAAAGTAAAGATTTAAAGGAAGATAGAAAGTAAAAGCAGGTGAATCCCAGTGACGGATTTTAGATAATCACTCAATGTTTCTAACTATACATTATGACCATTGAGTGGGTCCCAACTAAAAAGTCTGTATTTACCAAGATGCATTGTATTGACAGTTAATAGCTTTTATAAACTGATCCCTGGTTTTTATCTACTCGCTTAAAAATCTTTTTTTTTTAATCTACTGCCGGCCGAATTTACACTGAACGCTGATATGGACGATGGACAAAGAATAGTTAATATTATGCCTAAACCACTTTATGTGACAAAGATTTCTACTCCATTCAGTCAGGCTATTTTTACCTAATAACTTACTCATTATTCCAGTATTATTCACTTAACAGCCCCAACTTTTTTTCGAGGGATGTTTCAAAGACAATTACAAGAATATACTTGTAGTTTACATTGTCTTACATTAGTGGTCGTAAATCTGACTACAATTAGATCATATGAATGATTGTTATTGAAATGACTGCTATCGAAATAAACATATCGCCAATCTTGGTATATAATTATCGACTTAACTCGCGTTGATGAATAACGAAATTAAGTAAGTCAAACACGAGGACAGATTTTTGAATATGTATATCTCGTACAATCGTCGATCGGAAAGCGAAGCAAAGCGAAAGGATACGAGTGAGACAACTCAATATAGCCAAGCGTGAATCGATATTTATAGTCAGACAAAAATAAGTTGCAGACATGTGATGAGTAAGATATGAGATGCACACACATACGATTACGTAAAAACAACCAAGGTTGATTTAAATTACATGAATTGAGGATATCAATAGAATGAAGGGAGCGCATTCAGTCTGTTTGTGAATAGTCCCACCATAAAGGTCAACAGTGGGATGGAGATATATACACCTGACGAGTCTCAAATAACATGAAAAGCATGTCCTAAATTCTAATGCTGGCCCTAATTCATCCGTTTCTAAATACTTGTGACATACTGAGTTGAAAACCAATGAAAGTCAATCAGTACTTAATAACTACTTCATTCTTGTTAGGGATCTATCAGCGCTATAGTTCATCTGGAGCTAGCTGATGATAAAAATTGCTTTCAATTTGAACAATAGAGGTAAATATTTGAGGAGTTAACTTATACGATAGAGTTTCCTGTGTGTTATCTCGGTGGTTAATAGAATGTAAGTTTCTCTAAAATGGCGATGTTGACCTGAATATTAGGAAATGAAAAGTTATTAACTGAAATGAATATGTGTATACGAGTGATGGAGCTATGATGAGTAGAAGTATTTGAGTTATATACCAACTAAAAATTCCCGGAATAGTGATATTTAAGGCACGTAGGACTTACTTATTTACACTTGTTACCCCTCGTGGAGGAGCATAAGCCGCCCACTAGCACTCTTCATCCAACCCTGTCCGGGACAATTTTTTCTACTTGCTATTCATCTTTTTCATGTCTGTTTTCAATTTCCGACGTAGCGTGTTCTTTGGTCTACCACTTTTCCGTTTCCCTTCAGTATTCCAAGTTAGCGCTTGCCTCATGATGAAGTTTGGTGATTTCCGTAATGCATGTTTTATCCACTTCCAACGTCTTTTTCCAATTTTTTCTTCAGCTAGAAGTTAGTTTGTTCTCTCCCACAGTAGGCTGTTGCTGATGATATCCAACCAACGGATAATGAGTATCTTGAGTGGACAACTGTTTATAAGTACTTGTACATTTTCAATGATGGTTGTGGTAATTCTCGAAGTTTCAGCTCCATACAGTAGGACTGTCTTGACGTTTGAATTAAAGATTGTGACTGTAATACTGATTGACAGTTGTTTTGAGTTCCATATGTTCTTCAACTGTAGGAATGCTGTTCTTGCTTAGCCAATCCTCCAATTTACGTCTGCATCAGATCCCACTTCTTTATCGGTGATGCTGAGAAGATATGTAGAAGTTTCCACCGCTTCCAGAGCTTTTCCATCGAGCGTGATTGTGTTGGTGTTCTCCATGTTGTTTTCGAAGATCACGGGTTTTCCTTCATGTATATGGAGACCTACTGCTGCTGAGGCTGTTGCTACACTGGTTGTCTTCATCTACCTGTGTTGGTATGTATGGGGTGGAGGAATTAGGCCATCTGCGAAGTCAGAATCGTCTGGCTGCACACAAGCTGTCCACTGTATGCCGTGCTTCCTCTGAGATGTGGAAGTCTTCATAATCCAGTCAACCACCAGAAGAAAGAGAAAGAGGTAGAGTTAGCATTGGTCCTCACTTGGAATGCACCTGTCAACTGTACTCCATAAACAGCTTTGAAGTGTAGTCAGTCGTATGAATTTCGGATGGTGCTGACGATCTTCTAAGGTACACCACAGTTCCGAAAAATTTTCCATAAGGTTCTATCCACACCGTCTTATGCTTTCTTATAGTCTGTGAAGTTGATGTATACTGACGCGTCCCACTCAACTGATTACTCAACAATGATCCGTAGTGTTGCAATATTGTCTGTGCATAACCGATCCTTACAGAATTTAGCCTGTTGATCTCGAAGTTGGGCGTCTACTGAGTCTCTCATCTGGTTCAGCAACACTCTGTTCAGAACGTTTCCTGATACCGATGGTAGTGTGGTGCCTCTGTAGTTCTCACATTTGCTTAGATCTCCTTTCTTTGGTACCTTGATGAGGTGTCCTCATTTCCAGTCTGTCGGTGGCACTTGTTCTTCTTCCCAAATCTTCCTGAATAAAAGTGGAGCATGCTTGCAGTTACTTCTATGTCTAACATCAGCGCTTCAGCTGGTGAAGACACTCATAGAGGGCGAGGACACACTGCAGCACACTGGCAGCACGAAAAAATGAAGAGAAACACCTGAAGGACATATTTCAAAAGAACGGCTACCCAATCAACTTCATCAAAAAGCACCAACGGCACACAGCATCAGAACCCAAATCAAGCACAAAAATCAACAAAAGGATCACCCTACCGTACATACAAGGAATATCAGAAACTGCAACGAGACTGCTGAAAACCTTCGGGATAGGTGTGGCACACAAACCAACAAAATCGCTTCAGCTGGTGTATTGTCAGGTTCTACTGCTTTTCTGCTCTTGATTTGTCTGATAGCCATCCTGATTTCTTCGATCGTTGATGGAGTGACATCTATAGGAAGGTCTGTGTGTGTTGCTTCTATGTCCAGTGGATTTAATGGAGCTGGTCTATTCAAGAGTTTTTCGAAGTATTTTACCCATCTGTATCTCTGTTCTTAAATCTCGGTAATTGACTTGCCTTATTTGTCCTTGATCACTCTCTCTGGTTTGCTATATTTCCCTGCTATTTTCTGTGTTGTGTCATATAGCTATCTCATATTTCCTTCTGCTACAGCTTTTTCCACTCTCATTGCTAGGTCTTTAACGTATTTCTGTTTGTCAGCTCTAATGCTCCTCTTCACTCGCTTGTTTGCTTTTGTGTATTCAGCTTACGCCTTGACATTCTCTGTTCTTATTCGGCTGTTGTTAATTGCCGTCTTCTTCTTGCTTTCTTGAATCTTATCCACGGTTTCGAAAGAGATCCATTCTTTATGATAATGCTTCTTGCGGCTCAGCACGTTGAGTTTAATGCTTCTATGATCGTTTTCCAGCTGTTCTCCATAGTAGTTTCCTGTTCTTTGAGTAGATCGTGTAAGGCTTGGAACCTGTTGTTGAGAGTTATTTTGAGTTCGTTGAGTTTGTTAGTATCTCGTAGGAAGACCGTATTGAACCTTTGTAATGCCGTTTCTCAGGCTGTCCAGTGTCTCTTTAGTTTCAGTTTCCTTTTGGCGACCACCGGGTAGATGATGATTTGAAGCTATGTCAGCTCCTCTCCTGGTTCTCAGGCCTTTCATTTTCCTTTTGAATTTTTTTACTGGTGCAAATATGATCGATCTGATTCTCCGTGATGTGATCCGGTGAGACCCATGTAGCTTTGTGTATGCGTTTGTGTGGGAATATTTTGCCACCTATAATCAATTTGTTGAAGGTATATAGGTTTGCGAATCTCTCCCCGTTTTCGTTTCGCTCTCCCAGTCCATGTCGTCCAATGATATCTTCATACCCGGTGTTGTCCATTCCGACCTTAGCGTTCAGGTCTTCCATCATGATAGTGAGATTCTTTCTTGGGAACTTCGCTATGACTGATTTCAGCTTAGAGTAGAACTGATCTTTATCGTCTTCGTTGCTATCATTGATGGGTGCATAACACCGAATAACATTGATTGTGATTCCCTCCTTCTTTGTTTTGAAAGATGCTTTCATGATCTTAGATCTATGAGATTCCCACCCAACAAGTGCATTTTGTACTTCTTTGGACAGCATCAGAGTAACTCCCTAAGTGTGTGGAGCACTTTCCTCCATGTGACCAAAGTACTGCAGCATCTCTCCCGAAGCTATTTTTTTCTGTCCAGATTAGTTGTAATGGGTTTCGATGATTCCGAGTACTATCAAATTGTATCCCCTAATTTCCGTAGTTATTTGACTGATTCTCCCGGTCTTTTACATTGTCCGGACATCCCATGTACCTGTCTTAATTGTTGCTCCGGTTGTTAGAAGGTGTATCGACCTCGTGACTACCAAAGAATTTCGGCTTTCACCATGAGGCGTCATAATTCTTCCTCCAACTACCAGGGCAGAGCTTTGGTGGTTTAATTTATTTATTCAGGTTGGCGTCTTTTAGCAAAAGTTATTTTACCGTATGGGGTTGCCGACCACATGCCCAGCCATCCTCCTCTACCTGAGCCTGAGGCTGGCAGTAACTCCAGAAGCGCTAGAGGCGGAGTTATGTAGGAATAGATGAACACAAATAAACATATTATGCATGGACTTTGTAATTCATGGACAATCAAGTACAAAGGAATAATTAGTTCGTACAAATACCACAACGGCGTTACTTCTAATATTAATGTTCTGAAATTTGGTTCGAAGTCAATCATTTCTCAGACTTGTAGTTAGCATGACAGTGTCCTGTACAACAGATTTTATTTAAAAACTATAAAGGCAAATGAGATTAATTTAGAAGTTAATTGCCTTTCACGTAAGATTGAAATGTTTCATTAACGTTAATATTTAGCATTTTAATACCTTAAGGGGGTTGCTTTGAATTTAAGATGGTTGAAGTAATCAATACCAAGCTCAAGCTTCCTGGTAGTCATCAGGAATATTGTCATCAATCTTTTGGGCAATATGAAATTGTTAGGAAGTGAAGACGTACGTAAAGGATTTCCTTTACAGATGACTATGAAGTAATATGAACAATACGTCTACAACCTTCCAACAGTTATTTCAGAATGTACAGCTTTTACTAGAAGTAACAGGGCCGGATCACTTTAGTAGATATTTACGAAATCTAGTTAGTGAAACTAGGCAAGTCAGCATCGAGCTGTGCAGTAAAGTAGTGATTACCCTTAAACGACTGAACTTAACTACACATCGATGGGTAAACTAAATAAAAGTATGTAAAACGCAAAAAGCTATTTTAACACCCTTTAATTAAAAATAAATATAGAACTAACAAGCAGAAAATAGAAAAACAATAGATCGAACAGATAACTCAAAAATGAATGCTCACCTGAAACGCTATTATACTGATAGAAACTTCTGACTGCAATGAAATGCAGGCTTTTATTGATTTTAATAGCATCAAAAACTGGATCCCACTCTTGAGTCCTTTAAGTAGTTGTGAATAGACAAACTTTGTCTCACTTTATTCTATCTGCACTTATGTCAAGAACTCCATTATCAACATGGCTTGTGATTACAGAGAGCGGGGAGCAATTTCGCAGCGCACACAGATTTTCATAATATTTTCTGAAATCATAAGCTCCAGCTTGACGTTCCTTTACAGTTGGTATCATCAAAATGAGTCACAAATTTGCGTGATTCTAAGGTGTTTCGCAACTTTAGTTGCTGGTATATTTATTTTTTGTCTGAGGATATGTTTCTTAAGGATTTAAGTGTATTAACAAGAGTCTAAGGGATCAAAATAACATGATGAAACCATAAGCAACTACCCAGTAAACTCACTACATGAAACCAAATTTATCAATAGATACAAGAATCAGTAGCTAGTAATGTGCAAATGTGCTATACAAGCAAACCAGGAGACGAAGTGAAAAAGTGGAAGATAATAGTTTCAAATGTCGTACAGTTTACCTTTTTTAATTAGTGCACTCAAGGTCGCAATGCAATTTAGAAAGTGAAACAAAATTTAACCCTTTCAAAAGTATAGAAAATGTGTTGATTACGATTCGATCATTCTAAAAATTTTGTATACATTCGTCATCAGGTAACAGTCGTCGCTTTTGAGCTGACCAATAATTTGTCATAAACGTTTAGCACTTTCCTAATATAGCATGAGATTTGTTGTGTACTTCCCTGAAAATACTGCCTGTAGTTGCTATCTTCACATCTGTAAACACTTATTGACACGAATTAACGTGGTGGACACAGCAGAATAAATACTATGAAGCGCTACAGGTCCGTCCAAAATAGGTGTCTAAACAAAATCCGAGCAGTTCAGCGACTATATGATAAGCATTTTGCAAAATCTGTAGTCAAATAGCCGAAAAAACTGTTCTGATACACAAATTACAGAAAAAGAACACACGATAAAATTAAAACCTTATTGCAAAACCGAGTACATCTCAAATGACAGAGGGAGAACAGGACAAAGGAGAGGATAGTTTTCATTCAGAAGCTTCTTCTAGATGAAAGTTTGGACCCAAATACAAAGTCACGAAATCGGATGCTCACTGAGAACTTTCACCAAAACAACGTACTAAAAGCCCTCAGCACTTTAGACACGGGGGAATCAATGGATGATTTACAGTCCAAAATCGTGAGACAAATTGTTTGCTATATTGCTGAATACGATATTCAGTGTCACTCGATCAAGTTGAGTTACTTATGAACTGGAAGGGTGCAATTCATAAGACAGGATTAATACAGCTTCCATCAAATTACAAACTCATCAGCTTCACCAGTATCTTGGTTAAAATACTGGACAGAATAATCAAAAAGTCATGAATGATATTCTTGGAAACAAATAACTTGCTAAACAGCGAACATTATGGTTTCAGAAAAAGATTGTCTTGTACAATAAACCGCCATATATAAAAAAATTGACAGGGTGGAAAATCAGTGAGTGCTGACTGTGTAGACAGTGGAAAATATTTGATAAGATGCCGGATAATAGACTCCTCTTGAGACTGGAAAATCTGGCAATTGACGGACCTCTCCTGCAGTGAATTAATTATTTCGTTTTAGGTCATGGTCAGAAAGTAAGAGTAAATTCCAGTTGCTCCTAGTGGATAGTAGTAATATGTGAAGTACCATAAAGCTCTGTTCCAGGTTCTTTACTGTACGCAGATAAATTCCCAAGCATAGTTCAGTCCTTAATACCATATTACATTGATGGTGAAAAAATTTGGTGAGCGATAAGGATGGGTCCTAGATGCATTTACATGTCACGCGTACTTATATGTTCTGGTTAGCTGATCCAGTATACATAACCCTTACTTGCTCGTGCCTGTTAACCCTTGAGGAGGAACATAGGTCGCCGAGCAGTATTCTTTATCAAGCTTTGTCCAGAATACTCCTTCCCGATTGTTTCCACTTACTATTCAACCTTTCGACGTCTACTCCCGATTCTCGACGCAGTGGGTTCCTTGGTCATCTTTTCCGTTTTCCTTCTGGATTCCAAGTTAGCGCCTGTTTTATAATGCAGTTTGATGACTTCCTCAATATATGTTCTTCCCATTTCTAAAGTCGTTTGGCAATTTCCTATTCGGTTGGAAGCTGGTTTATTTTCTCCCACAGTAGGTTGTTGGTGATGGTTTCGGTCAGCGGACATTGTGTATCTTGTGTAGACAGCTGCATACAAATACTTGTTCTTTCTTGGTGATCGTTGTAGTAGTTCTCAAAGTTTCAGCTTCGTACCATAGGACTGTTCTGATGTTTGTATTGGTGATTCTGACATTGATGTTAGTTGACAGTTGTTTTGAGTTCCATTTGTTCTTCAACCGTGAAAATAATCTACTTATACTTGCCTTTACGTCAGCATTGGATCCTCCTTGTTCATCGATGATACTGACCAGGTATGTGAAGGTTTCCACAGCTTCCGGAGCTTCTCTGCCGGTCGCTCTTCCAGGGTTGCTGCTGGTCCCAACCGAAAGTGAAGGGGAAGGATTGGACATGGTGTCGATAACTATATCTCCCAAAAAACTGGATTGGTGAACAAACACTCACCAAAATAAACTATTTGAAATATTTAAAATCTGCCCTCTGGGTTGAAGAATTTTCATTCAGAAGAATTACAATGCCACACGGTCAAAGTCGAGATTCTTCAGAGGTCATGAGACCCAAGCCCCTTCTAACAAACAAAGTAACATTCGATATAGCTGCATGGGATGCCTGGATGATGACAATACGCATCTGTAGTGAGATAAAAACCTGGAAGCGCCGTCCAGGCTGCAAGCTCCTGTTCAAAGTGACTCAAATACCATGAAAAAGATACAGAGGGTCGTTATCTGTGTAATTCCGGTGTTAACCTTACACAGAGCGGCCTTAGAAGCTAGATCTTTTTTCCCTGCCCTACAGCAGATTAGGTCACCTGGTTTTGATATGTAGAATAGCAAGGAGTGATTACGAGCCTCATATGTCCCCTCGTTTTCTTCTTACCAGATCAAAATAACTGAGAGGACATAGCACAGGGACAGAAAGGTCAATTACAAAACGATATACGTGGCATACAGACTTTCACATTGGGTCATCAATACTTGAAACTTGTTAGCCGGTGAAGTGTTGACCCCCTCTACGATTAAAGACCAGACATTCACAGAAGCTTACGAGAGAAGAACGAATACATGACTTAGGTCTTCATACCTCAATACATAAGTCTGAATCGAAAATCAAACCCGAATCTGTTGGTGGAAAAGTGGCATATCAGCCACATAAGATATTCCACATGCCAGTCCTTTTTGCTATCGCAGCGGCCAAATGTTAAGTTGTTAAAGTCCGGTTTATGACCCGATGTTTCGGATATCATCTTTATGCACAATTATCAAAATATGGAGGGAAGAATGAACAGGTCGAGAAGTAGTTTACATATGTGCCACGTATGTGAATTTACGTGTATAAAACAAACTATTGGTCTACTGTGCTAATAAACAGTGACATTTTCATAAAATTGTCTTGATGCTTAGCATTAAAAACTAGAGCTTTCTCCCGGGGTAGATTAGGAAACAGCATTATCAATGGGTCTTACAGAATTGAATGCATGATCAACCGGTATGGATCTTGGAGACACGCTGTTTTCAAGTACTCTGAAATAATTTCATGTTCATTGTTATCGTCTTGGTTGTGTGACGAGGTTTCAATTACGTCTGGTGAGTTTCGGTACGAAGTCAACGACTGCTTTCATGAATTAATGGTGTGATGTTAGCTCTGATGATCTGTATGGATGTCGTTCCTAAAAATGGTACTGCACCATGCTGATCAAATGCGAAACATGGTGAACGAAAATACTGGGACTGTTGAATGGTAGTACTGACGGTCAATACTGCAGTAGGGTCTTAGAAAATTTAAAAGACTCTGTGCCCGTAAAATTGTGAAAAACATACTTATAAAATGAGGCAGCCATGTGCTTTTAGTATGGGAGTCAGGTTTTCATATTTATTCATGGAGAATGTAAGAAACGTATTGTGTTCATTAAAAATACGTCCTAAAATGACGAGATTAGGTAAATAATCACTCATTGGCTGTGGAATTTGTGAATTTATACAAAACATATACTGTACTTATCACTCAATATTAGGAGGACACATTAAACCAATAACACTGCTTTGTGAAGAACGCTATGAATGTCTACTAGTGTGACAACGCAAGTTCTACAAGTACTTTTATCTCTTCCTGACCACAACTTAATTTCATGTTATCATTTTCGCTACCAACAACATGGCAGAAGAGGAGGAACACTATTTCAGACTAAAGGCAAGCGCAAAAGTGGGTAGTCGAAAGAGTCCGTCACGAAATAACTAATGATTCCATGATGAACGCCTATTTAAAAAATCGGTGTGATAAAAGATGAAGTAAACTGTCATGACCTAGCTCCTACTGATACGTATAGACCAAGTTAAATAAGTGATACACCACAAGGACAATAAGACTACTACTCCAGGCTTGAGGGTTGATGATGTCACAGGTATTCAGTGTTTGACAACGCTTCTACCAGTAACACCTTCTAATATATTTCGTTCCCGCCCAGAGAAATCAAAAGACAGAGTCGAGGAGATCGGAAGAGTATATTTGGCGATGACCAATATATCGGAATTCTCTGATCTAATCTGGCTAGCGATTGCGGTTGATGTTGAGCACGGCGTTACCACACGTGATCTGATGCGGATGCCTGACCGAGCGCCTTCAGCTAGGTGAGTCCACTAAAACATATGGTCAGCATCCAATGTCGAAAACTTAGTGCTATTTATTTTGGGGATTTATTTACCGCTACAGATCACTCCCCCCCTAGTGGGGCAGTGACGACCCTAAGACGTGGCCAGCCAGAAGTTTAAACCCAACGAGTTTGTCGTTGGTAAACACTCTTCTGATAGCTTACTAAATTTAGCAGCGTCTGGTCGTCTTTCCTTACTATATGGGACGGAGGTACAACATAGTAAAAAAAGAAAATGTACATGGAAAATTTCGGATCCTCATAAACGTCGTCGTTCTTTTCCAGCCGTCCTGGAAAAGAAAAAAGAAAATGTAAGTGCATGTCGAAATACACTCGTATGTGCGTAAAAACACAATGTCGGCGGAGAAAAAATGGAAAATGAACTCATGAACACGTAATAGCATTTAAAAAAATTGTTTTTTTTTGTTTTGTATTTTTTTTAAATAGAAATAAAAATATATAAGCATATTAAAATTGTTTTTTTTTTAAAAAAATAATATAAAATGTCGAGAAGTGCCTTACGTGCAATAGTCGTTTAAATGTTCTGGAAGTCTCACCCTTCTTCCAGAACGCGTCGTTTTAAGTTTATTTTCGGATACTGTCGAAGTATCATCGTGTGTGTTGGTTGTCGGATGAGGTATTATAAGTGTCGGAGTCGTGTCGTTCGATTGTACCGAAGGAAAATCCACGTAGATA